GCCTTATGTTGGTTTATTGTTTACTTGCCCCTTGTTGTTGCCTTGCATGGGGATATGTACATGCACATTGAGAGCCACTGTACCAGAGTCCAATTCCTCGTGTCCAGCACACCTGGCCAATAAAGCTGATTCTGAAACATGATTCTGAAGCTGTATGAAGAACTGTAGACTGTGCTCAACATGGAAGACTGGAGGATAGCTAATAAGTAAAACAAGCTCATATTCAGCACTGAATTCAGATCAATGAATCCAGTCAGAATGGACTATCCTAGACCTACAAAGGCAGTAATCAGCAGACACTGTTACCTGAGGACCAGAATAATGGTAAGTCACTGTGCTGTGTTTGCATTATTAGTAGAGGTCAGACCATAAAGCATTAGATGGCTGGCATGTGAACGTGGGGAACTAACTAGTGCTTCATGATTTGTGTAGGACTGACTTTTATGGCTGCCAAGAGCTACACCAATAAACACACTGTGTTGTACATGCATAATGTACGGTATTATAAAACAGAGTCAGGTGATGATGATGACAATGATTGAAACAAACAGTATGTTTGTAACTAAATAAGAGAGGTTCCCTCATCAATCTCACTTTGTGTTATCCAGACCCTTGATTAAAATACTGAATACATCAGCAGTGATTACTATAGAGAGATTTTTTTTTATTTAAACATATGATAAAACATACATGATGAAGTTGTAAAGTTCTGTAATGGTGTTATATCCCAGGTTAAATGGTTTGTTTGTTAGCTGCTGTTAAATCTAATAACATAAAAAAGATTAAACAGTCTAATTTATTAAAGCTTACATATCATTTACCTACTTTTCTGCACTGATGATGGATGCTTTGGAAAACTTACTGATTGCTAACAATTACTGGTTAACTAGCCAGGAAACTGACATTATATGCACATTAAATCAAATTCATATGACTTTAATGTCAAGCTCCCATTAAAAAAACAGCACAAAAATACAAATAATCGAAGCTGTAGAAAGCTATCTTTGGAAACATAACTAGTAAAAATGATTGCCCTCACTGGACTTCAAATTCACTTATGCAGGAGTCAGTCTGCTTTCATGAAGTCGCTCCTTGATCGCATTATCAAATCAACTGACTCCAAAAGAATCATAGATTGATTCTGATGCTTTTCTGAGGAGCTTGTTAATGACTGATAAGGATGAGTTGCATCGAAATCATCTGTAGTGTCTGATGTGGAAGAGGAGCGAGGGAGACAGATGCATACACACAGAGTCACAGGACACAGGCTTTATAGCTGCAACATAAGTTTCATTTGTTGACTGTTTCCAACAAGTGTCTCTAGTCTGTTCAAGCAACATGCAGACTTCATTCACAATGCGTTTGTTGCACAGTGCAGGAGGTTGCTGTCTGTTGTTTACGTTTCTTTCAGCTTCATCCAATATCAAAATAATTATCATCCTACTTTGGAGCCTTGAATATTGAAAAATGACTTTAAATACGTTCGAGTTTATCTTTAGAGTGTATTATTTATTGTCAGATTATTATATTATATGATTTTAATATATGCTGGTCCTGAGTGACTAATTTCATTCTTCATGTGTCAAACATGTAGAATGATAATAAAGGAACCTTGAAAATCTTTATTTTCTTCTACTTGTAGCTACTTATTTCTGTCTTCATGTGGATGATTAGAACAGATACCAAACAAAAGTATGGTTGATAAATAAACCAGACTATGACTCAGAGTGAGAGGAGGTTTATGGAGTCTTCACTGTCTTGTCGCTAGTTCAATATATTGTGGGTGGGACGATGGATCGGTCTCGGACCATCGGTCCAGTCATCCATCAGCCACTGCTGACTGAACTTTGACCAAAGCTTGAGGGAACGTCATGTGTCATTGGGCTGGTTTGTTATAATTTACAATTACAGTTTGGCCTAAACAATGAGAAACAATTTGTCACACCCAAAAGTGCTTATTTGTTTTTCACATAACATGAGAGAATGACATGTCATTGCTTGGTTACAACCTCTGGGCATGACAACATTCAGAATTTTGTCTAAATGCGCATTTGTTCATTCTTCCTTGCACTCGAGGCCTCACACACCACTGACTAAACATGTTGCATCTTATTTTAAAACAGCACTGAACAGCTCATGGAATCATAGTTGTGGTCAAAGTACGGTGACACATTTCTTGCTAACTAGCCTGGACAGGAGATACCTAGAGGGGGAGAGACTGATGGAATAAAAAGGACAACGAACAGAGAGGGAGAGAGATCAGATCATTTCAGTGCTAAGACAAATGTTCTAGAAATAAGCAAAAGATGAAAGAATGTGCGATGCCAAGGGACAGACAGACTAGACCAATGAGTCAGAGCTGAGAGAGGGAGAGCTGGAGTTCAACACCAAAGCTGTGATGATGACAGAGAGAGATGACATCCTGCTCACCTCTGGTGTGTTCCTGACCTGAAGCTGTGACACACATCTACTCACTGATGTGCGGGACAGGAAATGGAGTATCAGGCTTTATACTATGTTCGCCTGTGCAAAAAAACAGAAATCAAGTAGAAAGGCTTCTTCTTCTTCTTCTTCTTCTTTGCTGCACCAAGGCCTCTGCAAGAGTTTGACTTCGATGAGGCCAAAGTTGTTCTTGTCATAAAATAACTGGCATTAGACACAGTGGTGTTCACTTCACATAGAACCTCATTTAACTCAACAGCTTTGGTTCGTCATGTTCAAACATTTGAAAAATAATATCACAAAAGTTCAGGAACGCTACGTCAGTGTCACATTTACTATAATTTATCAACAGATCTTGCATTCAAATATTTTATTCTATAGAAAATAAGAAGTGTAAACTGTGGGCTCTGTTGATTATTACCTGGGATACTGTCCTTGGAAGAGATTTAAAGTCTTTATTAGATAACAGGCTCATCTGAGATGAGCTGCGCCTGGTGTGGTCAGCAGTTGAGAGCAGGTGGCAAAGATAAAACACCACAGTCAAGACAAACAGTTCAGGAGCTTTTCACCAGCCTTCAGTCTGTACAGGAAGGCACAGAAGCACTTGCATCCATTTAATAAAATGTCATCAAACCCAATGTTTCAGCTTCTACTCAGTGTCCAGAGCAGCTGATGTTTTAATGAGAGTGATAACATGCTGACGTGTGTTGATCTCCACACTATTACTTAAATATTGTACCTCAACATGTATCTGGGCTGCATTTCTCATAGAAAGCAGTCATCATATCAGTTTGCCACTGTATTTGAGCTGACCGGGCTTGATTTGATATGAAGCTGCATAAAGACATTCATAGCGATTGTTGATCTGTCAGTTATGTAGTCTGCCACAGCTTCGCCTCTACACAGATACCATTGAAGGAAGTGTCACACCCCACTTACCAAAGGCTTTTGTGTCACTTACATGAGTTAAATCAGTTCATATTGTAGAGCAGAACTATCTCAGACTGCCTGCAGTCTACAGGAACTATATGTGTTATGACCGCATGCCACGCAAAGTGGTGTGACAGATGAAGCGGACTCAGATGGCTGACTTCACCATAAACAGTGTTTAATTGTGCTGTACAAACTGGTATCGTGATAATGTGCATATATATATATAT